GAGGGGTGACCTTATAGATGTTTATACAATCATGAGGGGCGTAGGTAAGGTAAACAGCAAGGTTCTTTCCCTAGGGTTGGGAAGTTCAAAACTACGGGGCATATTTTCAAGGTGAGAGGAGAAAGATTTAAAAAGGACACGAAAGGTAACTTATTTACACAGAGAGTGGTTCATGTATGGAATGAACTGCCAAAGAAAGTGGTAGATGTAGGTACAGTTACAAAATTTAAAAGACATTTGGATAATTACATGAATAGGAAAGGTTTGGAGAGATATGGGCCAAATGCAGGCAAGTGAGACTAGTTTAGTTTGGGAATATGTTCAGTGTGGACTAGTTAGACCAAAGGGTCTGTTTCCATGCTGTATGACTCTATGATTGGTGCAAATCAACCAAAGGAAGCATTTAGCTTTCTGAGGTACAGGGAGCAGTATTGATTGGGACAGGAAATGGTGTACGACACCTGATGGAAGGAAACTGGAAGACTGTGTCGAGGGCTGTTGGGGTGATGTTTTCAAAAGCTTGTCACAGTTTGATAGAAGTAATGTGAGCATGTGCAGCTCTTATTGAAACTGGCTGACTTTGTTCTGTCACTCAAAGTGTCGTGACTCCCAGATATCATTTAACCTTAGTGCTGCTTCAAAAGCTTCCTGTCTCTAATTCAGTTCTCATCATTTCAAAATCAAACCTTCTCCAAGTGATGTTTAAGAGAACCTATCAACTGTCACTGGAAGATATAAGCAATCATTTAATTAGTACATCTGTACCTTCTGTTATATAAAAAAAAATCCTCACATCATCCAGGTCGAAGAGCTGACTGAGTCTGAGTATGATGCAATTGCAGTTGTAGCAGTCAAGACACACCAGGTACAAGCTGGGAGATGTTGCTGGGTGAAACCCTGCAAGGGGATTACTTAGATGCATCTGTATTTTGAATCCAGATCGCTTATAATGTTGGGTCAAATGACTCCTCCAAGTTAGTATATTGCATTACTAAAGTTAATCTGATTCCCTCACAAAGATGTTTTCTAGACAGAATGTCCAAGATGATATTTACATTATCGAGTCTTCTGTCACAAAAGTGACATGATATTCTACCAAAATAATTGTATTCCTTGTCTTATCATTCCCTTCGGTGCTGCTGTCTGAGTCAGTATCTCCGAGCATGAACAGCTCATATTGAATATAAAGTCCAGGAAAGACTTCTTATGTGAAATTTGAACTTTGTACTGACCTGCTTCTGTTTAACCCAATTCCATTTTAATATGGGCATTCAGAGATAGTAGGAACTGCAGATGCTGGAGAATCTGAGATAACAAGGTGTAGAGCTGGATGAGCACAGCAGGCCAAGCAGCATCAGAGGAGCAGGAAGGCTGACGTTTCGGGCCTAGACCCTTCTTCAGAAAAAATCTTTTTTCTGAAGAAGGGTCT